TAGGGAGATCTATTTTTGTTTCTTAAACGAATGTTGTTTGAATAAGTGATTTCATGAATGATGTAATTAAAAAAAAATATTATTGGACTTTAAAAAAAAATCTTTTTGTTACTTGAATGAATGTTGTTTTAGAACTGATTTCTTAAGTGATGTTAAAAACAAAAGCACCCCAAACCGCACATAATTTTAAAAAAAGATTATTATTGAATGACTATATTTGTGAAAAACCTTTTTCTTACTTGAATGAATCTTGAATGTTGTTTGAATAACCTGTTCCTTAAGTGAGGTAAAAAGAGACATAATTAGAACTTATGTTTATTCTGCTTTTCATGTCTGCAATTCGATACCCTAGAATTACGAAAGTCTGTCTGCTCAGTACCTTAGTTTTGAGAAGTTCGAAATAAAAGATGTTGAGCTCGAATTCAATTCTTTACATACCTTTAACGACTCCGAATAATATTACGATTTTGATAGAGCAGATAGAACATTTTGGTGTCTGATCTCATATGGCCTTAGTTACTCAAAACGACCACAATGTCGGTTAGAACTTATACTTCTGATAGGCGGTGCCTGGAATTAGAGGACCGATCCGCCCATGGGCACTGTGTAGAATCGAATCGAACAGAACCGAACTCATCCTCCAGCGAATTAAAGTGTTAATATTAATGTCAATTGTTTCTTCCCGTCCAGATACAACATTCTGTACCACAACGGGGGCGAAGAGAAGCTGGCCCAGAATTCCATCACCAAGTGCTGGGGGCAGAGCAAGACGTTTGGAGAGTACGTGAGCAACTTGGGAGCGGTCTTCTATCTCCGGAACTCAGACGAAATCTTTGTCAAGGTCTCTAACATCACTATGGTCTCCACGGACCCGAAGATGAGCCATTTCGGGCTGTTTAAGATTTGAGTGTGTTGGTGAGTGGAGGTGATTATGGTTGTTGTGAGAAAGTGGGGGAGTGAGAGGCTGGGGTTGTTTAAGATTTGGGAGTAGATTTGTGTGTGTGTGTGTGTGTGTGTGTGTGTGTGTGT